CACCATGAAATCAGTTTTAACACCAGGTGCTTGGGATGAACAAGGTTCAAGAAAAGACTGGTTTTTAAAGTTTGAGAGTGGTCGAACCCCTGAGGTTCTAGAATGCCAGGATTCTAGAACCTGTGAAATACCACCGGGTATAAAAGCCATATCCCCAAGTGCAAGATTCTGGAACTGACCAGGAATCTAGAGCCCAAGGGACCCTACCAGGCTTTAAGAAACTTGGAATCCATAAGGATCTACCAACAGTGATAGATTTAGAATGCATGGACTTTTATGCGGTTGAAAAGCATTTTGACATCCAAAACTACACAGTTCCAGAGTCAGCCTAATATAGACCTCTTGGGCTCACATGGAGTTTTATACTATTTCTACCCATGGCAGCTCTAGCGTTCTAGAACCAAACAGAAATCTAGACGCCTTTGGACCCTAGGGGGTTATAATTAAGGCTACATTTTAGTCATGAGTAATTTTAGTAAAAGTCATGGACAGGTCACAGGCAGTAAACAAAAATTCATGGCCTATGACCTGTGCATGACTTTTACTATATACCCCTAACTAAAGCTTGGGCAGGGGGCCGTGGGCGCTCTTGCGGGGGGTCTTCCAGAGGTGCTGCAGGTGCTTGGGGAGGTGGCCCTGGATCCCTCTGGTGCTGGGGGTGGGGTGGGCAGCAGCACATGCCCCAGGACCCCTGCTGGTGCTGGGGGGGAGGCAGGGCTGGCAGGGGCTCCCTACCTGGCTCCACGTGTCTCTGCTGCTCTTAGGCAGCGGAGGAGCCAGGGGGCTCCGCAAGCTGCTCCCACCACTATCTGCGGCTAGGCAGCTCCCCTTGGCCAGGAACCACAGCCAATGGGATTTTCGGGGGTAGAGCCTGTGGATGCATACAGTGCATGGAGTCCTCTGGCCCCTCCTTCGCCTAGGAGCTGCAGGACCATGCCAGTGGGAGACAGGAAGCCCCCCATCCCAAAGCAAGCACACCCCTCCACATCCCTCACCCCCTTCTCCTAGTCCTGAGCCCCCTTCCAAACACACCCAAACTGCTGCTGCTGGCCCCGGGGTCTAGGACCCTATGCGGTCTAGGATATCATATATGAGGTTGGAAACTGGGATGTTCTTGACCACATAGGAGTAGTTTGGATTTTAAAGCTTTGGCAGACCTAGAACACAAGTGGTTCAAGAACCAGCCGCATATCTAGAATGCATAAGATCCTATTGGCTTTTGAAACATATAGTGGCTTGGAAAACAAGATGCTCTAAATCAAGCCCACATCAGATCAGTTTGCATTCAAAACACTGACAGACCTGAGACCGAAGATATTAAGAACTGGCCAGGATTCCTAGAATCCATGAGATCCTATTGAATTTTGAATCAGCAAGATGTGTTACCGGTCACGGTTGGCAGTCTTGTTTCATCTGAGCAGTAGCAATGGAAATTTTTTTTTTAAATAGAGGAGTTAAGCACGTCTAACTTACCTACAGCCTCCACCCAGGGCTGGCGGCCCACATAGGTCTGGCTTCCTCAGACAGCCCAGTGGGTCCAGGAAACAACTGGTACAGCTCCCCGACAATGGGTCTGCCTGACCTCTGGGTAGAATCAGATATTCCAAGGACTGAAGGAGAATGGAGGTCCCCTAGTCTGACCTGCGGCAGAACGTCCCTGAATTAGCCCCTGGTTGCACTGGAGCAGACAAGATAGAAATACCATCCAGCTCACCATTAAAAATTATTGGTGATGGAGAAACCATCAGGGTGAGTCTTTTTTAGTCTTTATCATCTTTTGGATCTGCTGGCCCCCATCCTCAGCCAAGATTTTGTAACTTGGCTGGAGCTGGCAAGTGAGATCTTCACAGTTACTCTGACCTCTGACCAGAGGTGCAGAGGGCAGCCCACACTGAAAATCCCAAGTTCAGGTCAGGCTTCAAAAAGGAGAGCAGTTTATCCCAAACCTGGTGGTTAATACAGTAGTTAGAGTCACCAACCAGTCACAAGCTGTGCTCCTGATCCCCCACATGGGTCATCAACAAGCCGAGAAGAAAGAAAGAAATCACAGTGCCCCCTTTATTGCATTCCAATCTAGGATCCCAATCAGCAAATAGGCCCAGTAAAGTGAGAAGTTACTTAAAACTCTATTCACTATACAGACAGTTCTTCTGATCCCCAAAGGGCCAGCCACATTCCCAGATCAATACTGGTTTGGATTTTACCCAAAATACCACATTGCCAGCCAATCCTTTAGCATCTAAAACCAAAGGTTTTACTATAAACAAAAAGAAAAGAACAAGGAGAGGTCAAATGGTCAAATGGTCAAATGGTCAAAACAATCAGATACACACAGAGGCTTCAGAGTCCATATACCAGGTTCTCAGCAGCATTGGTGAATTCACTTGCTTGAAAAGTCCCTCTGGAACACAACCAAAGCTTGGATGGGTCATTCAGTCCTTTGTTCAGAGATGCAGGAATGCATCCGATGAAGTGAGCTGTAGCTCACGAAAGCTTATGCTCAAATAAATTGGTTAGTCTCTAAGGTGCCACAAGTACTCCTTTTCTTTTTGCGAATACAGACTAACACGGCTGCTACTCTGAAGTTTGTAGAGAAGTTACTCCAGAGGTCAAAAGCAGGATTGAAGACAAAATGGAGAAGATACAGCTGCCTTCTTAAATGCTGGGTACATCCTCTGTCCCAAACACAAGTTCCCAGCATATAGATATGGAAAATTTCTTGGAGTCCCCTGTCCTCAGGCATGTCCCTACAAGTCCTCATGACTCAGATGCATAGCCCCTGGGTTCTCTCAATGGGTTTACTGTACAGCTGATTGCCCATTGAACAGACAAGGCAGTGCTAATGCCAATCTGTCTGGGGGTGTGTCAAGGTTCCTTCCCCACTCTGAACTCTAGGGTACAGATGTGGGGACCTGCATGAAAAACCCGTTAAGCTTATTTTTACCAGCTTAGGTTAAAACTTCCCCAAGGTACAAACTATTTTACCTTTTGCCCTTGGACTTTATTGCTGCCACCACCAAGCATCTAACAAATATATACAGGAAAAGAGCCCGCTTGGAAACGTCTTTCATCCCAAAATCCTCCCAAACCCTACACCCCCTTTCCTGGGGAAGGCTTGATAAAAATCCTCACCAATTTGCATAGGTGAACACAGACCCAAACCCTTGGATCTTAAGAACAATGAAAAAGCATTCAGTTTCTTAAAAGAAGAATTTTAATTGAAGAAAAGGTAAAAAGAATCACCTCTGTAAAATCAGGATGGTAAATACCTTGCAGAGTAATCAGATTCAAAACATAGAGAATCCCTCTAGGCAAAACCTTAAGTTACAAAAAGACACAAAAACAGGAATATCCATTCCATTCAGCACAGCTTATTTTATCAGCCATTTAAACAAAACAGAATATAATGCACCTCTAACTAGATTACTTACTAAGTTCTAAGACTCCATTCCTGTTCTGTTCCCGGCAAAAGCATCACACAGACCGAGGGAACCTTTGTTTTCCCCCCACCCTCCGGCTTTGAAAGTATCTTGTCTCCTCATTGGTCATTTTGGTCAGGTGCCAGCAAGGTTGTCCTAGCTTCTTAACCCTTTACAGGTGAAAGGGTTCTTCCTCTAGCCAGGAGGGATTTAAAGCTGTTTACTCGTCCCTTTATATTTATTACAGGGTGTCACACAGATACACAGTACAAATAGGAGATATCAATATACCACGCATGTCTATAACTCACAATACAAAGATGACACACACATATAAACAAGCTTCCCATATTTAGTAAATCATACCTTATCCACGCATACCTTACATGATTCATGCAATTTCTTAATATTGGTGTCCATAATATCATGAATTGTCACCCACATTCCATACAGCGTCACAGTTACTAGCTTGGACGTTATCTCTACACCACCCTGAATGTTCAAGGGCAGGTGGTTTCTCTAGAGCCACTCTTCATTCTGCCGGCTTGTTTTCCTTACTGGCTGCTCTTAAATTAAGCCAGAGCCTCCCCACACTAAGTATTCCAGTGAGCAGGTGACGCGGTTTTTGTAAATTATGTCAAAGCTGCCCCACAAAATGTACAGAATTTATGTAGTTCAAGGAACACACGGGAATGATTATTTATTATTATTTTCTATTTTGGTAGTGCTGGGAGCACAAATCCTGAGCCAGAACCCCGCTATGCTAGGCACTGTACAAACAGAGCAAAAAAGACCCGGTCTCAGAAAGCCCACAATCCAAGGAGATTCAATGGATAGAGGCCTGGGCTGGGACACAGCTGACATGAGTTTGTTCATGGCTGTGCCACTGGATGGACCGAAGGTCCTACTGAGTGACCTTGGCCAAGTCATTTCCCCATTTTGTATCTCAGTTTCCCCATTAGTAAAAACTGGAAGACTGCTAATGATCTCCTTGCTAAACTTCTTTTGAGATCTACTGATTAGAAATACTAGAGAAGAGCTAGATATCGCTATTGTAATATACAGACTCTTCTATAATATACTACTCCAAATGGATTTTAAACCATCTGGAAATTTAGAACCCCAGTGAAACTTTTAGGAAACAATCTGGAACCTGTTGGATTCTATGTGGTTTGAAAACACTCTAGAATCCAGTGATGTTGTAGATCCAGTCTGGAATATAGAACCCATAGTCTTCCACTTTGAACACACTGAGAGGCTTACAAGATATGAGATTCCAGAGACAGCTAGTGATGAAGAATCCAAGAGAGTCAATTAGGTTAGAACACATTGAGAGTTCTAAAACAAACAAGATTCTGGAGCTGCCTACTAATCTGGTGCCATTGATGACCCATTGAGTTTGAAAAAATTGAGTTATCTAGAACACATTGAATTCTGGAGAGAGCAGGGAATCTACAATCCAGGAACACTGCAGAGTTTATGAACAGTGGGATGCCTGGAACCCATTAGAATTTAGAACCATCAGGAATCTAGAAACAACTGGGATGCCAAGTTTTCAACTCCCCCTAACTCTGGGCATCTTCAGGCCATAACCTGTTTTGTGTTCTCGACTTCTGACCCATGTCTTTCACTAGACTCGGCAGCACTGCTGGCGAGATCGTTGACAAAAGCTGCTTTGACGAGAGTGAGAAGAGACTTCCTGAAGACCTGCCAGAACTTCTCCCCCACGAAGAGATAGAGGATGGGGGTGAAGCAGGCATTGAAACATGATGTAAAGGTGTAAATGACCAAGACGGCACCCGTCACCAACGCTGGCACCTCCTTCTTTTTCATAGATTCATAGTTATTAAGGTCAGAAGGGACCATTATGATCATCTAGTCTGACCTCCTGCACAACGCAGGCCACAGAATCTCACCCACCCACTCCTGCGAAAAACCTCTCACCTATGTCTGAGCTATTGAAGTCCTCAAATCATGGTTTAAAGACTTCAAGGAGCAGAGACTCCTCCAGCAAGTGACCCGTGCCCCATGCTACAGAGGAAGGTGAAAAACCTCCAGGGCCTCTTCCAATCTGCCCTGGAGGAAAATTCCTTCCCGACCCCAGATATGGAGATCAGCTGAACCCTGAGCATATGGGAAGATTCACCAGCCAGATACCCAGCAAAGAATTCTCTGTAGCAACTCATATCCCACCCCATCTAACATCCCATCACAGGCCATTGGGCCTATTTACCATGAATATTTAAAGATCAATTAATTGCCAAAATCATGTTATCCCATCATACCATCTCCTCCATAAACTTATCGAGTTTAATCTTAAAGCCAGATAGGTCTTTTGCCCCCACTGCTTCCCTTGGAAGGCTATTCCAAAAGTTCACTCCTCTGATGGTTAGAAACCTTTGTCTAATTTCAAGTCTAAACTTCCCGATGACCAGTTTGTATCCATTTGTTCTTGTGTCCACATTGGTACTGAGCTTAAATAATTCCTCTCCCTCTCCGGTATTTATCCCTCTGATATATTTATAGAGAGCAATCATATCTCCCCTCAACCTTCTTTTGGTTAGGCTAAACAAGCCAAGCTCCTTGAGTCTCCTTTCATAAGATAAGCTTTCCATTCCTCGGATCATCCCAGTAGCCCTTCTCTGTACCTGTTCCAGTTTGAATTTATCCTTCTTAAAACATGGGAAACCAGAGCTGCACCCAGTATTCCAGGTGAGAGCTTGTAGAGCTTCAAGCCATGGTGGAGGTGGTAGGGCAGCCAGCCAAGAAAGAAGGAAACCACCGTGGTCACCATGACTTTGAAGGGCTTCCCAGACCATGCCAGCTTCTTCTCCTTCATCTTCAGCCCTACACGGACATAGCATCCCACAATGGTGCGGAAGGGCAGTAGGAAGCGCAGCAGGACCCGGACTGTAAAAACAGCCAGGTGGATCCATCTCCCCAGCTCCTGCATCTCAGCTCCGTTCCAGTCTCTGGAGAGGGTGTAATTATTGATGCAGGTGGTTCTGCCCCCATGCACCACCTGGGTCTCCCGGAAAGCCAGGTAGGGAGCGCTGAGACCAAAGGATGCCAGCCACACACCCACAACCAGCTTCCCAGCCCAGGACATGGTGCGGTGATGCCAGCACCAGATGGGATGGTGAGTGACGGTGTAGTGGTCGAGGCTGATGAGGGTGAGAAGGAAGACTGAGGAGAACATGTCCATGGAGATGCAGGTGTTGAGGATCTTGCACACGACCGTGCTGAAGACCCAGTGTAAACCCATGAGGAGGGAGACGATGAAGAAGGGGATCAGCAGGGTGAAGAGGAGGTAGCAGGAGACAAGGTGGAGGAACCAGAGCATGGTCACCATCATCCTCATCTTCAGCCCCAGCACCCACAGGTACAGCCCGTTCCCCACCACACCCACCAGGAAGGTGGTGAAGAGCAACACGGCCGCAGCCAGGTGAGTGGCGCTCACAGCTGCTGGGGTCTGGCTGGAATTTGCCCCAGTGGTTGGTGGGAGAGTCATGTTGCCTTGGTCCATGGTGCCCTGGGGAGAGAGAAAAGAGGGATTAGAAGGGACGACAGAGGAGGGGGAAAGGGCGAGGGCAAAAGAAAGGGAGAAATAAGAGGGATTTAGGAAGGTACCATTGGAGAGGATCTCTCTAGGCACCCTCTGGTCGTCCAGAATATGCAGGCGCGATAGTCTCAGCAACAGGGCTGTACCTGGTGGAACTCCCTGCTACAAGGTAGAGCTATGGGCTTCAGAGGAGGGAAAGAGGGATAGGCCTGCGAGGACGTGGGGATGGGGACAGTCTAGTGCGACGAGTGGGGATGGGGACAGTCTAGTCAGTCAAATACACTGCTATGCTGAGAATGCCGTGTCGCTGTGATCTGGAAGATGGGCTGGCTCAGAAGGGTGGTTAACGGGAAACGAGGCTTTTCCTCCCTAGCAGACGCCAGCTCCAATCTGTCTCCAGGGAAGGGACTGGCGGACTCAAGGAGGTGGGGATCGGTGCTGCTGGCTCCTAGCATGCAGGTTAAGAATGGCTCCTTTTAATGCGGTTTTAACTGAGGGCCCCGGATCACGACCCTCTGAACTTGCCCCGCTCACTCTGCCCTGGGCCTTGCTCAGAGATGGCTAATTTCAAACCAAGCTGAGCAGGCGGGTGGATTTCAGAGCACTTGGACTCACCGGCTCTGACAGGAAGAGGTTTCTCTGCAGGCCCGGCGGCAGGAGTGCCCTTAGCAGATCTGCTGTGGGAGGACTCGGGCTCCCAGGCCTTGGGCAGTTCTCAGCTCAGCGTCTGCAGCACCTGGTTGCAAGTGGCCCCCTGAGTCCAACAGCCCTGTCCTTTCACGTCCAACCCCGGGGCATCAGCCTGGCCACACATGCCAGCCATCTCAGCTGCATCCCTGGGGCACGGGCCTCTTTGAGAGCCCTGTCAAAGCTCTATTCCCTGTGGACACATGACTCCCTCCAAGGGGTGATGGGTAGTGTTGGTATTTTCCCAGGGGGGACCACTGGACCTCACATTTCTGTGCATACCCGGCCCTCTGTGCCTAACCGGTCTAAGGAGCCCAACTGGGCAGTAGCGGATTATGCAATGGGCTGATGGGGCCTGTTCCCAGGGGCTCTGGACAATTTGGGGCCCCTGGAAAAATGGATGCCGCACCCCAGCAGAAATCCCAGAGCCCTGGCAGAAGCACTGGGTGGGCAAGGCGGGGGAAACACCCGTGGCCCGACACCACTCCCTGGCAGAAGCGCCGGGCAGGGTGGGGAAAGCCCCAGTGCTCAGACCCCCGCTGCAGCCCTTGGACTGCAGGGCTCTTGCTCCCTTGTCAAGGCCTCAGCTTTAGTGGTCAGAGCAGGGGAGGGGTGACTCAGGATATCTGGGTTCAAGCCTCAGATGGGGGAGGGAAGTGGGGTCTAGGGGGTTAGAGAAGCTGGGGGGCTGGGAACCAGGGCTCTGGGTTCTATCCCTGGCTCTGTCAGGGAAGCGGGGGCTAGTTTTAAAGCAATGGCTGTTTCTTAGGTGGTTTCTTTGCTAAGACAGGGTCCAAATGATCATTTCCATTTATGGGTTGCGGCTTCTCTATCTCTGAGAGCAGGCAGAGGCGGAGCGTGTAGAAGACACAGAGTTAAGGGGAGAGACCTCAACACCCAGGAAAGCACAGACTCACGGACGCTTTGCTGGGCAAACACCATCTGAGACCATCTGAGTCTCTCTCTGCGCTGGGTCCTGCCCTGCTGAGGTGAGTCGAGATGATGGGCCACAACTCACTGCTACAGGGTAGATGTGTAGGAAGCAGAGGAGGAAAAGAGGGAACACAGATGTGGGAGGAGTGGGGAAGGGGACAGTCTGGACAGATTGGAAAGAGTCCAGTGGAGGGCAACAGAAACGATTAGGGGGCTGGGGCACATGACGGATGAGGAGAGGCTGAGGGAACTGGGATTGTTTAGTCTGCAGAAGAGAAGCGTGAGGGGGGGATTTGGTAGCAGCCTCCAACTACCTGAAGGGGGGTTCCACAGAGGATGGAGCTTGGCTGTTCTCAGTGGTGGCAGATGACAGAACGAGGAGTAATGGTCTCAAGTTGCAGTGGGAAGGTCTAGGTTGGATATTAGGAAACACTATTTCACAAGGAGGGTGGTGAAGCCCTGGAACGGGTTCCCTAGGGAGGTGGTGGAATCTCCTTCCTTAGAGGTTTTTAAGGCCCGTCTTGACAAAGCCCTGGCTGGGATGATTTAGTTGGTGTTGGTCCTGCATTGAGCAGGGGATTGGACTAGATACCTCCTCAGGTCTCTTCCAACCCTAATATTCTATACTTCTATAATGGGCAGGGGCCCCTCACTGGGTCTGAAGGGCAATTTCCTTGCTAATCCTACATAGAAGCCACAGACATTTGCTATTAATAAAGCAAACCAGGGGGACTCCCTGCCACTGGGTATTAATGGGGTTAACACGGGGACTCAATAGACAGATGTAGCAGGTGGGGTCTGTGACATGGGTGAATTTTTCTCTCTTGTTTCAGGTTAATCAGATGAGGTGCCCCCATTTACGAAGCTCTAAGCCACAGGACCCCCCCGCCCGTGTCCCTCCCACAGCCCAGGAGTCCTGCCTCCCAGTCTGCGGCTCTAACGCACTAGACCTGACTCACCTGCCAGAGCAAGGAATAGAACCCAGGAGTCCTGGCTCCCAGTCTCCCCAGCTGTAACCATTAGGCCAGTCTGCAGAGCACAGAGGACACTGTGCTAACGAGGCCTGGGGAGGGCGGCTGCAGTCCCTGACAGAGACAATAGCCCAGAGGTCCCTGGTGCAGAGCTGCAGCCCGGCTGTGGGGTAGAGAAGCAGCTCGGTGGCTTGAAGCTTCCTGTGTTACAGTGAGGCTGAGAAGGACCCTGCACGCTCTCACGAGTCAGGGTGTAGCAGCAGTTCCTGTGACAGGCGGATGAATACAAGAGACGGGGTGGGGGTGGGGTGGCTTTTTCCACCTTGTAGCAATGAGTTCCACTGGCCAGGGATAGAACCCAGAGCCCTGGTTCCCAGCCCCCCAGCTTCTCTAACCCCCTAGACCCCACTCCCCTCCCCCATCTGAGGCTTGAACCCAGATATCCTGAGTCACCCCTCCCCTGCTCTGACCACTAAAGCTGAGGCCTTGACAAGGGAGCAAGAGCCCTGCAGTCCAAGGGCTGCAGCGGGGGTCTGAGCACTGGGGCTTTCCCCACCCTGCCCGGCGCTTCTGCCAGGGAGTGGTGTCGGGCCACGGGTGTTTCCCCCGCTTTGCCCACCCAGTGCTTCTGCCAGGGCTCTGGGATTTCCGCTGGGGTGCGGCATTCATTTTTCCAGGGGCTCCCAATTGTCCAGAGCCCCTGGGAACAGACCCCGTCAGCCCACTGGATAATCCACTACTGCCCAGTTGGGCTCCTTAGACCGGTTAGGCACAGAGGGCCGGGTATGCACAGAAATGTGAGGTCCAGTGGTCCCCCCTGGGAAAATACCAACGCCATCCATCACCCCTTGGAGGGAGTCATGTGTCCACAGGGAATAGAGCTTTGACAGGGCTCTCAAAGAGGCCCGCACCCCAGGGATGCAGCTGAGATGGCTGGCATGTGTGGCCGGGCTGATGGCCCGGGGTTGGACGTGAGTGTGCAGAGAGCAAAGGGCTGTTGGATTCAGGGGGCCACTTGCAACCAGGTGCTGCAGACGCTGAGCTGAGAACTGCCCAAGGCCTGGGAGCCCGAGTCCTCCCACAGCAGATCTGCTAAGGGCACTCCTGCCGCCGGGCCTGCAGAGAAACCTCTTCCTGTCAGACCCGGCGAGCCCAAGTGCTCTGAAATCCACCTGCCCGCTCGGCTTGGCTTGAAATTGGCCGTCTCTGAGCAAGGCCCGGGGCGGAGTGAGCAGGGCAAGTTCAGAGGGTCGTGATCCGGGGCCCTCAGTTTAAGCCACATGAAAAGGAGCCGTTCTTAAATTCTTCACGCTGCTCTGAAAACCAGTTGCAGACTCGCATTGACTTGGAAAGTGGCACCAAGCCGCAGGGGCTCTGCTGGAGTCTGCGGGAGCAAAGGGCGGTCGTTCGATTGTGGATGTCACGAGATGCAGCCCCCTGCATGATGAGCTGCTGTTAATACTCATACATTTCACTGACTTCCCCATGTGGGGGGCAACTGCCTTGAAAACCGGCACTGAGCAATGGAGGCAGGGTGGGGTTTATGATGCAAATTTGAGGTCATTTGGTCCAGAGGTTCCCGTGATACCCTCCCCCCCACATGCTGATTGAACATTTTCAGATCGTTATAATGTTCTCAGTGCAGAGTGAGGGGAAATAGCAAAGAGGCTGAACTTTGAGAAACGTCAAGCCTGGATGGCCTCTGAGCTCAGCTACGCAATGGGACCGAGGGGCCATGCGGCCATAGTGAAAAGTGAATCCGCTCCTCAAGCTGTTCACACCTGCGTTTAATAGCAGTTCACACCTCTGCGAGGTACGGCTTCCAGCGGAAATTGAGGGTGAGTAACACCCACGCTGAGTTGACACATGGGGGCTTAGAGACACAGCCACTGCTGTTTTGATCTAAACATGGAGATGTTTGTGTTCTCATCCCCATTATCACCTTTTGACCTGGTGTTTTCAGCCACAACAGGGCTGAATTGGGACCACAGATGGCGTGTAAGTCCTGTGACAATAACCGATTATTTTGGTCTCTGGTTCTTCTGAACAACCGAGGCGTCGGGGTGGCGAATGACTCATTTGGAATGATGCCAAATTATTATTATTATCTAAAGGAAAAGGGGGGGGGATTGTTTTAATACGAACAAAATGGGTTTTTTTCCCTGAGCTTGGTTTTTACACATTTTAAATTGATAAAATAATTTAAAGAATGTCAAGCAAAGCTGTTTTGAATAAGAAAATTGAAATGTTTTATATTGAAGATGTCAGTTTTTTGGTGGTTGAGCAAAACAATTTGGCAAATCTGACACTAATTCATTAAATGTTTTGGGGTCTACTGTAACTGCTAAACACCATTTCCTCATATAGCTGGGTTTGAACCCAGGAGTCCTGGCTCCTATCCCCCCACGCTAACCTGCTAGACCCTACTCGTCTCCCAGTGGCAGGAGAAGAGCCCAAGAACTCTGAAGTGAAGTCAATGGAGTTACAATGATTTACACTGGCTGAGGATCTGGCCTGTTCACTCCATGCCCTATTCCAAAATAATCTGTGATTATTTTTATGGTTGTATTTTTGGAGGGTTTCTCAGATGAGCACCCTTAAAGAGTCTTGATTTTCCAAAAGAAGGAGCTGAACGCTTTGTGAACATCAGGCCTGTTGGAAAGTGTCTCAAGTCAGAACATGATTCCCTGTGCTTTGAACCCTTCAGGTACTAGACCATGTCAGATCTGATTGGGTTTCAAGACATTGTCATACCTAGAACTCAAGAGGTTTACGAACTAGACAAATATCTAGAACTAATGCGCTACTACCATGTGTCTGTATATATATATATACACACGTTTGTATATGTGTATATGTATACACACACACACACGCACACACATTTCAAAACACAATAGTATCCCAAGAGTTCTAGATATTTGAGTGATTCTTGAACCTGTTGGGTTCTTGCTCTGACAAAAAATTTTAAACCCAAACTGGTCCTATGTGGTCTAGGACGTCATATATGAGGTTGGAAACTAGGATGCTCCAGGCCACACAGGATCTCTTTGGGTTTTTAAATCTTGGCAGACCTAGAACCCAAGAGGTTCTAGAACAAACCACATATCTAGAATGCATAGGAACCTATTGGCTTTTGAAACATAAAGTGGCTTGGAAAACATGATGTTTAAATCTAGCCTTCATCAGATCAGATCAAGTTTAAATCACTGACAGACCTGGGAACCAAGCTGTTAAGAACTGGTCAGGATTATTAGAATCCATGAGATCCTATTGAATTCTGAAACAGTGAGAGGTGGTATCTGTCATGTCTGGCCATCTTAATCATAGAATATCAGGGTTGGAAGGGACCTCGGAAGGTCATCTAGTCCAACCCCCTGCTCAAAGCAGGACCAATCCCCAATTTTTGCCCCAGATCCCTAAATGACCCCCTCAAGGATTGAGCTCACAACCCTGGGTTTAGCAGGCCAATGCTCAAACCACTGAGCTATCCCTCCCCGAAATGGAATTCTCCTTCGAGCCGGAAGGAGACTTCTGTTTTTTTCTGAACAGTAGCAATGGGAAAAGATTTTTAAACAGAGGGGCTATGCACATGTCTAAACACACTTACAGCCCTCCACCTGGCGGTGGCAGCCCACACAGGCCTGGCTTCCTCAGATATCCACGTGGGTCCAGGTGTCAACTGGTACAACACCCCAACAACCTCTCCTGACCGCTGGATAGAATCAGAGATTCCGAGGCCGGAAGCAGCATGGTGGTCCCCTAGTCTGGCTGGATGCAGAACGTCCCTGAACTAGTCCCTAATTGAACTAGAGTAGACCTGTTAGAAATACCCTCCAGTCCTGCTTTAAAAATTGCAGTGATGTAGAATCGACCAGAGAGGATCTTTTTAACTCTTTATCATCTTTTGGATCTGCTGCCCCCCAGCCTTGTCCAAGGTTTTTTAACTTAGCTGGAGCTGGCAGGTGAGATTGTCACAGTTACTGTGACCTGTGACCAGAGATGCAGAGGGCAGCCCACACTGAAAATGCCAAGGTCAGGGAAGGCTGCAAAAAGGACAGTAGATTCTCCCAAAACTGGTGGTTAACACTGTAGTTAGATTCACCAACCACTCACAAGCTCTGTTCCTGATCCACCGGACTGGTTATCAAGAAGCAAAGAAAAAAGAAAGAAATCCCACAGCCCCCTTTATTGCATTCCAATCTTAGGTTCCCAGTCAGCAGATAGGTCCAGTAAAGTGAGAAGTTACTTAAAATTCTATTCACGATACAAAATGTTCTTCTTATCATCATAGGGCCAGCTACAGTCCCAGATCAATACTGGTTTGGATCTTACCCAAAACGCCACACTGACAGCCAATGCTTCATGGCCCATCCAACGGGCTGGATAGGGCTGATGCAAGCTGTCTGGGGCTGTCACCCAGATACACAGCACAGATTTGACATATCAATATACCACACATATTTACAACTCACGATATAAAAGGATGCATACACATAAACAAGCTGATCATATTTATCAAATGATAACTTTTCCACTGATCGCTTACATGGCATATCTGGTTTGTTTCAGTACAGTTTTATATCCATAACATTATGAATGATCACCCATATTCCATACAGCGTCACTCTTATTAGCTTGGATGTTACCTCTTCACCACCCTGAACAGTTCATGGGCAGGTGGTTTCTCTGGAGCAGCTCTTTATTCTACTGGCTTATTTTCCTTACCAGCCGCTCTGAAACTAAGCCACAGCCTCCCCACACGAAATATCCCAGTGATTGGGTCATAACCCCGCTGTGCTAGCTGCTGTAGAAACACAGAGTGAAAAGACAGAACCCGTCCCAAACTGCTCATCGCGTAAGGCAATGAAATTGAAAGAAACCTCAGCTGGGATGCAGGAGACCTGTGTTTGTTCTAGTTCTGCCACTGGACTTCTGGGTGACCTTGGCCAAGTCACTTTCCCACTCTGTGCCTCATTTTCCCCATTTGTAAAAACTGGAAGACTGCTACTGACCTCCTTGCTAAAGTGCTTTGAGATCTGCTGATGACAAGAACTAGAGAAGAGCTAGATATCACTAATATAATAGACGGACTCTTCTATAATATACTACACCTAATGGATGTTAAACCATTTGGAAATCTAGAACCAAGATGAAAGTTTTAGCAACAATCTAGAACCAGTTGGATTCTATGTGGTTTGAAATCAAGTGATGTCCTAGATTCAGTCAGGGACCTAGACTGAACTGACTTTGAGTTTGAACACATTGAAAAACTACAATAAATGAGATTCCAGAACCAGCCAGAGATACAGAATCCAAGAGAGTCAATTCTGTGATAACACATTGAGAGATCTAAAACAAACAAGATTCTGGAGCTGGCTAGCAATCTGGTGCCATTGATGACAAACTGAGTTTCAAAAAATTGAGAGACCTAGAACTTATGGGATTCCGGAGAAAGCAGGGAATCTAGAATCCAAGGGCACTGAGGGGTTTATAGACATTGAGATACCTCGAACCCATCAGGTTTCAAAACTAGCAGGAATCTAGGAACAAAGGGGATGCCAAGTTTTCAACTCTCCCTCGGTCTGGGCACCTTCACACCATCTCTTCTTTTTTGTTCTTGATTTCTGAACCCTGTCTTCCACTAGACTCGGGGGCACTGCTTCCGAGATCATCGACAAAAGCAGCTTTGACCAGAGTGAGAAGAGACGTCCTGAAGACCTGCCAGAACTTCTCTCCCACAAAGAGGTAGAGGATGGGGGTGAAGCAGGCATTGAAGCAGGACGTGAAGGTGTAAATGACCAAGAGGGTGCCCATCACTGACTCTGGCACCTCCTTCTTGTAGAGCTTCAAGCCGTGGTAGAGGTGGTAGGGCAGCCACCCGAGAAAGAAGGAAACCACCACGGCCACCATGACTTTGAAGGGCTTCCCAGCCCACACCAGCTTCTTCTCCTTCAACTTCAGCCCCATGCGGACATAACATCCCACGATGGTACAGAAGGGCAGCAGGAAGCCCAGCAGGAACCGGACCACAAAGATAGCCAGGTGGATCCGTCTCACCAGGTCCTGCATCTCGGCTCCATTCCAGTCTCCGAAGATGTTGTATTTATTGACACACATGATCCTGCCCCCGTCCAACACCTGGGTCTCCCGGAAAGCCAGGTAGGGAGTGCTGAGACCGAAGGAGGCCAGCCACACACCCACAACCAGCTTCCAAGCTCGGGACAGGGTGCGGTGATTCCGGGACCAGATTGGGTGGTGAGTGAGGGTGTAGCGGTCCAGACTGATGAGTGTGAGAAGAAAGACAGAGGAGAACATGCCCAGAGAGATGCAGGTGTTGAGGAACTTGCACAAGGCCATGCCAAAGACCCAGTGGAAACCCAGGAGGACATAGACGGCAAAGAAGGGGATCAGCAGGGTGAAGAGGAGGTAGCAGGAGACCAGGTGGAGGAACCAGAGCGTGGTCACTGTCCTCCTCATCTTCAGCCCCAGCACCCACAGGAACATCCCGTTCCCCACCACACCCACCAGGAAGGTGATGAAGAGCAACACAGCAGAGGCCAGGTGAGGGGTCTTCATGGTCTCTGGTGTCTTGGTGGAATTTGCCACTGTGGTTGGTGGGAGAGCCATGATACCCTGGGAAGAGACAGAAGAGGGGTTGGAAGGGATGACAGCGAGGTGAAAGGGAGAGTGGAAGGGGAGAGGGGAGTAATACCAGAGTGGGTTAGGAAGGTAACATTGGAAAGGATGTTGCTGGGCACCCTGTGGTCCTCCAGACTATCCAGGCTGGATATTACCAGAAACTGGGCTATAGCCAGTGGAACTCACTGCCACAGGTTAGAGCCGTGAGCAGTAGGGTAGGACAAGGGGAATAGCAGCCGTGTGAGGAGTGGGGAAGGGGACACTGTAGTACATCAAATATACAGCTATGCAGAGAATACCATGTAGCTGTGATATGGATGTTTGGCTGGCTCAGGGGAGCAGGGAATGGGCCATGGTGCCCCTCCGCTCTAGGATGGACAGCTCTAATATGGCCCCAGGGCAAGGGATCAGGCCTAATCAGTTAGGTGGGGATCGGTGCTGTTGACTCCTAGCATACTGGTACCGGTGGAACTCAATGCTGCAAGGAATACAAAACTGCCCCTCCCCCACCCCATCGCTTGTGCTCATCTGCCAGTTACAGGAACTGCTGCTACACCCTGACTCGTGAGAGCGTGCAGGATCCTTCTCACCTCATTGTAATATAGGAAGCCTTAATCCACCGAGCTTCTTCTCTGATCCCAGCCCGGCTGCCAGCCCTGCACCAGAGACCTCTACCTCTGTCTGGGATTTCCCCCCCCCTCACAGACTTATTAGCTCTGGAGAATAGCCTAATGGTTAGAGAATGGGGGAGGGGCTGGGAGCCAAGACTTCTGGGCTTGGGGGGGACGTGGGATCCTGTTTCTTAGACTCTGCAAATGGAGAACACCTCATCTGATTAACATGAAACGAGCAAAAAATTCACCCATGTTACAGATTTCACCTACTACCTCTGTCTATTGAGTGCCCTGTAAAAAGAAAAGGAGTACTTGTGGCACCTTAGAGACTAACCAATTTATTTGAGCATGAGTTAGTCTCTAAGGTGCCACAAGTACTCCTTTTCTTTTTGCAAATACAGACTAACACGGCTGTTCCTCTGAAACCTGAGTGCCCTGTGTTAACCCCAATGCTACCCAGTAGCAGGGAGTCTCACAGGCTAACCCCACTGATACCCCGTGGCAGGGATCCCATTGCTTTGCCTTTATAATAGCAAATTTCTGTGGTTTCTAGGTGGTCTTACAAGGAAATTACCCTCCAGGCCCAATGAGGGGGACTCTGCCTATCATCTTGACTCACCTGGGCAGCAAGTGGTGGAAACATACCCAGTGTAGAGACTTGGGTGATGTGTCTTTGGCCAGCAAAGCGTCCCTTTGTCTGTCCCCACCTCAGTACTGCCCTGTGTTTTGAATTCACTCCCCTTAACTCTGTGTCTAATACATGCTCCGCCCCAACTTGCTCTCTAAATAGAAAAGCTGCAAACCATAAATGGAAATGATTCTTTGGACACTGTCTTAGCAGAGCAACCACCTAAGAAACAGCCAGAGCTTTATGTGGATAAATTGGAAAGAGTCCAGCGAAGGGCAACAAAAATGATTAGGGGTCTGGAACACATGACTTATGAGGAGAGGCTGAGGGAACTGGGATTGTTTAGTCTGCAGAAGAGAAGAATGAGGGGGGATTTGACAGCTGCTTTCAACTACCTGAAAGGGGGTTCCAAAGAGGATGGCTCTAGACTGTTCTCAATGGTAGCAGATGACAGAACGAGGAGTAATGGTCTCAAGTTGCAGTGGGGGAGATTTAGGTCGGAGATTAGGAAAAACTTTTTCACTAGGAGGGTGGTGAAACACTGGAATGCGTTACCTAGGGAGGTGGTGGAATCTCCTTCCTTAGAGGTTTTTAAGGTCAGGCTTGACAAAGCCCTGGCTGGGATGATTTAATTGGGGATTGGTCCTGCTTTGAGCAGGGGGTTGGACTAGATGACCTCCTGAGGTCCCTTCCAACCCTGATATTCTATGATTCTACGATTCTAACTAGCCACCATTCTCCTGCCAGAGCCAGGGCTAGAACCCAGTGGGAGGTGTCGTCATGGCCCCAAACCCCACTGTGCTATGCACTGTATAAAGAGAGAGGAAAAAGACAGTACATGCATGAGAGAGCTTAGTATCTAAAGAGTCAGGGTGGATAGAGACCTGGACCAGGTCCCAGGAGGCCTTGGTACTATTCCTGGCTCTGCCACTGGCAGACTAAGTGCCCTGGGCCAACACACTTCTGCACTCTGTGCCTCAGTTTCCCCATTTGTCAAATCCAGGAGATTGCTACTGACCTCCTTGGCAAAGTTCTTTGAGATCTACTGAGATAATTGGCTCTGTGGATATGGGGAAAGCAGTGAACGTGATATATCTTGACTTTAGCAATGCTTTTGATATGGTCTCCCACAGTATTATTGCCAGCAAGTTAAAGAAGTATGGATTGGATGAATGGAGTATAAGGTGGATAGAAAGCTGGTTAGATTGTCAGGCTCAGCAGGTCATGATCAGCGGTTCAATGTCTAGTTGGCAGCCGGTATCAAGGGGAGTGCCCCAGGGGCCTGTCCTGGGGCCAGTTTTGTTCAACATCTTCATTAATGATCTGGATGAGGGGATGGACTGCACCCTCAGCAAGTTCACAGGTGACGCTAAGATGGCAGGAGAGGTAGATATGCTGGAGGGTAGGGATAGGGTCCAGACTGACCTAAACTAATTGGAGGACTGGGCAGAGTCCAGCCCCTGGGCCAGCAGCAGCAGGTTGGGTGTGGGAAGGGGCTCAGGGCTGGGGCAGATGGTTGGGATGAGGGGCGGTGTTTACCTGGGGGGGGGGGGGTGGGCTCCTCGGTTCCCACCGGCATGTCCCTGCAGCTCCTAGGTGGAGGGGCCAGGGGGTTCAGTGTGCTGCCCGCGCCCGCAGGCACTACCCCTGCAGCTCTCATTGGATGCGGTTTCCAGCCAATGGGAGCTGCAGAGTCAGCGCTTGTGGTGGGAGCAGGGCGTGGAGCACCCCGGCCGCCCCTCCCCCTAGGAGCTGCAGACATATGCTGGTAGAAACCAAGTAGGGACCCTGCCAGCCCCACCAACCCCACTCCCCAACACTCATGGGGGTCCTGGGCTGTGTGCCACTGCCCCCACCCTCTCAGCACCAGTGGTGGTACTGGGCCACTCCCTGAGCATCCGCGGCACCCCCAGACCGCCCCCCCCCACAGCACCCCAGGCCCCAAGTTTTAGTTAGGGGTATATAGTAAAAATCATGGACAGGTCACAGACCCTGAATTTTTGTCCAGTAACCTGTCCATGACTTTTACTAAAAATACCCATGGCTAAAATGTAGCCTTACCTATGAGTAATGAGGACAAGCGGAGCCTTTAGAGCCAGGAGTTAAAACTCGGAGCAAGATGCTTGGAAAGGGGTTAGACCCACCTACTTAGAGCAGGAACCAGGGGGAGGGATAGCTCAGTGGTTTGAGCATTGGCCTGCTAAACCCAGGCTTGTGAGGTCAATCCTTGAGGGGGCCATTTAGGGATCTGGAGCAAAAATTGGGGATTGGTCCTGCTTTGAGCAGGAGGTTGGACTAGATGACCTCCTGAGGTCCCTTCCAACCTTGATATTCTATTCTATGATTCTAACCCCTAGGAATAAGGGCCTGGCAGAGAATTTCCCCCACAGGGAGATTATTCCATCCTCATCCACTAGGGGGTGTCTTGCGCCTTCCTCGGAAGGAGCTGGGCTTTGCTAGAGACAGGACGCCGGGGTAGATGGGCCCATTGAGCAGTTTCTCTGTTCTTGGGTGTTCCAGCTTTAGCCACTAGACCCAATACCCCGAGGCAGGAATAGAACCCCGGGGGCCTGATTCCCAGCTCCCCCTGCTCGAACCACTAGATCCCATCCCCCAAGGCAGGAATAGAACCCAGGGGTTCTGAGTCCCAACCCTTAAGAAGGCCCAAGGCTGCCAGGTGGAAAGCCCCTTCCAGGCACAGAAGCACGGCACTTTCTCCTGCTGGGTTAGGCGTGTGCATTTGTGAAACCACTTCAGCTTTTGAGGTTTTCTGCATCAACCAGATGGCAGTTCCCCTTCCCGTTGCCTGCCCCCAGCCTCCCGAGCCTCACGTGTGCCAGTTACACTCAGATCTGTGCCGGGGATCTGGCTGGCCAGATGTCACACGCATTTATCCCCAGAGAGAAGAGAACCCAGTGGAGAGGGCTCTGACCTGAGGGCAAAGTTGCTCTGAACTCTCAGCCTCCTGCCGCTGCTCATTCATAAATCCATCTGTCTGGAAGCCAGACGGGCCCCTAGATCATTCCAGTCTCATCTCTGGCACTGCCCAGGCTAGGGGTTCTCAATTAGTCCCCCCATACTGAGCCCAATCATTCTAATTTGCCAAGAGCATCTTCCAGAAAAGCCACCAGGTGTTTGTCCAGCTGTTCTTAAAACCCTCCAGTGATGGGGATCCCAAAACCACCCCTGGAAGCCAATTCCAGAGCTTCTCCCCCATGAGAATTAGAAAGTGTTTCCTAACATCTGACCTAAAATGTAAAAACTTTTAAATTTGGGGGGTAAAAGTGTTGAGTTTGCAGTTTAAAAAGAATCGTTTTTTAAAAAACCTTGAACTTGTTCTGTTTTTAACCAAACAGCCAGCCTGGCAAGTGGATTTTTTAAAACATAAAAATCACTGTTTTTTTCCCCGAAAACCAGTTTTCAAAAATCGAAGCTTGTGCTAAAAGCTGTTTTCTGTAAACTCAAGACGTTTACGAAGCCTCCGAATGGTTTTCATCAGAACTGACAGTTTTGAATCAAACCCCAAATACAGTTATTGGAATCTGATTGGGTTTTTTTCCCTTACCAAAAATCCATTTTCAAAACCTGAGATTTGGGCTTAAAAGAGTTTATAAAAACTGAACATTTGACTCAAACCCCACGTTTTTTCTTACCAGAACTGCCATTTTTTATCCATCCCCCAAAACATTTACTGAAACTCCCAGATTTTGACCCCAGTCAGTTTCTGAAACCTGAAAAAATCCAGTTTC